TTCAGTAACCAGATTTCTGATTGTGAACTAGATGCCTCGTGAGTTTTTCTTCTCATCTCTTCATTCAAAATGTCAGTCCTTGCATACTGCATGGTTACGATATCATCAGGAGCATAATTAGTCAAAGATACATAAAAAAGTTTTCCATGAGTCAAGAAGTGTAGTCAACAACCAAAGTCCAATAACATCTTCATCAAATTTGATACCCATGTCAGACAGTTAATCAAAGATACCTTGAAATTCATTCATACGATCAAGTATAGAACTATCTTCGTTATATTGTAAGCGTATAACTTGTTTAAGCAAGAATAACTTATTGTTTCTAGTTATTAAAGCATATAAGGTTTCAAGCTTTTCCCATAAAATTTTGGCCTTTATTTCATTAGCAATATGATTCAACACATTATCTTCTACCCATTGCGAATAAAACTACATACTTGTAAGTTCTCAAATTTCCAATCTTTATCGGATTTAGACTCAGATTTTTGAGAAGCAAACACAGGTAAATGTAACCTTTTCACAATAAGAAAATCCCTCATTTTTCCTTTCCACTTATAATAATTTGTGTCATCCAAGTAAATCATTTTACTCACATTCACCTCCATCATTCAAACAAACAAAAGAAAATCTATAATCAACTAATGAATTAATGAACTTGGCTCTGATACCACTTGTAGAGAAGTAGTTAAATGAATTTATGAGAAGTGAAAACTAAGTAAAAATTCAGCCAAAATAAATATGATAAAATTTGTCCCAAGATGCTAAAAAATAATCACATAAAAACTCCAAAATTTTTAACGTAGAAAACTCCTTTAATGTAAAAGATAAAAATCATGAGATTTCTCCTGGTCCAAGTAAAAAGAGCTCCACTATAAAAATTAGTGTTTACAGCAACAATAAGCAACCACTATAATTTTTAAACAAATACTCAACAACAAATCAATCAAACAACAAGATATAAATAAGGGTATGGAGAAATATCAATAAAACAGCTACTGTTCATACGAAACGAATGCATTCTGATTCTTTGAATCCAATCTCCACCGTTCAAATTAAAGAACAACTTATCCTGAACATACTCACCAAATTATGTTCATAAGGTGTGCTAACTTACGTTTAGCAACCCTATTTTGTTGTGGGGCTTAAAGACTTATTAATTGACGTTGAATTCAATGTTTATTGCAATATTCAAGGAATGAATCATTCATATACTCCCCACCATTATCTGTTCGCAAACACTTCATCAATAAGTCCAATTCTTTCTCCACCTGCTATTTGAATAGAATAAAATTTGAAAAAACTTTACTCTTATTTTAAGGAAGTATATCCAACAAAATTAAGAAAATTCATCCATGAAAACTAATAGATAATGAAAACCAGCATAGCTAGGTGTTCTTGTTGGTCCCATGAGATCTGAGTGGACTAGTTATAATGTAACAGAAGCTCTATTTGTCGAATTTAGAAAAGAAGGCGGTGAGATTTCTTATATTGATAGCCAACAAAAACAACATTATATCTAATGTCTTTAAAGATAGGAACTCTATCAATAAGCTTTGCAATAGAGATTTTCTATAATAATTGGTAGCCAACATGTCCTAGTCGAGAATGCCAAATTGTTGCGCTAACATTCTGCTTTATCTTTTCAATATATGCATCACTTGCAGATAATACACACAATGATTTTTTTTTTACTAGTGAATAAAACATTAGCTACAATGTGTTTGATATTTGAAAGAATTTTTACATCATTTGGTCAGAAAATGTTATACCTCCAAGAATCAATTAATTGAGAAATTAAGGTAAGATTTTTTTTTAAGCCTTGACATTAAAATCTTTCTTTTAATACATGATGGAGAGAATTATCAACTGGCACAACAACTTTTTTATTAAAATGCGGGTGAACATCAGAGAGTAAAGAATCATTGCTTGTTGCATGATGGGAGCAACCAGAATCAATAATCCATTCCTTTATTGTAGTCTATGGAAGCACTAGCATCTGCATCTATCTTGGAATTAATTTATCAGTTGATAACTTCAATGGATAAGCAATGCTCCCATTTTGGTTGTTCAGATTCACCACTTTCATGTACACTGTTTGCTTCTGCTTATGAAAGATTGACACGACAATCGTGTTTGATATGACCAGGTTTTCCACATCGATTACACACCACCTTTACACGACAATCGCATTTGAATGTCCCTCTTTTCCACACCTGTAACAAACTTTTGAATTTTCTTTAGAATACCCCTCTATTTTAAACTGCTTATTATCGCCTTTATACTGAGTAGCAAAATTATTTTTTTGTTTTTTCTTTTGTATAAAGAACATCTTCCACTTAAGAGAGATTGTTTGTTGTTGCGATCATTTGTTTCACCATAGCTTCTTGATTTGAGAGAAGGTTCTCCAAATCAATGATAGAGGGTTGAGTTGCCCACCCTTGTATTGAAGAAATAAATGGTATGAATTCTTTTTGCAATCCACGAATAAGATAACAATGTAAATAAGCATCACTAAGTCGTTTTGAAATTTTAGCACACAAGGTTTTAACTTTCAAAAAATATTCTGAAATTAAAAAATTACCTTGAGTCATCCCAACAAGTTCATTCTCTAAATATTGCATCCGCGTTATCTTCTTTTGGGTGAACAACCACTCAAGTATCTCCCACACTTGCTTTGGCAATTATAAATCACGAACATACTCGATGTACTCTTTGTTGATTGATGTTCGCAAGGCAAACAAAGTTTTGCCGCATTTTATCTTCCACTTCTTACGCAATTCAACATTTTGTGATCATCTGGAATTACAGCTTCATCATCAGAGATAAGATCCCACAAATCATGCCCTTGTAAATAAGCTTCCATGCATAATTTCTAGTAACTATAATTGTTACCAACAAGCTTTTCTATAGAGGCTTGAGAGATATTGCTTTCGTTATTCATATTCATTGAGGAATAAAATCAAACACTTGGCAGGCGACCTACAAAAATCAAAACTCAAAAACACTTAATAAGAATAAAACCAAGCTCTGATACCATGAAACAAAACTCAAGAACTGAAATATATCATAAATGAACAAATAAAAAATAGAGCAGGAAGTTTATTTCCTAATGAATAACTTAAATATTTCACTTTAAAATATTAATAAAGAAATATTTAAATACCAAATGAGTTCCTAAAAAATCTCAACTGTTTGTTTAAGGAGCACCAACGTGCTAATGTGATTATCTTAACTAAACCAACATGCCACTGCATTATCTCAACAATCCTTTAAAGAAAAGTAAACACAAACTAATTCCTAAATAAATAGAAAGGTAAAAGGATAAACTTTTGACTTTATCAACGACTCTTCAGCAAGCATGATCTGTAAGTTACACTAATTTTTGACGATGATAAGGGATTGCTAATTTCAACGTAAGCCTTATTTAGAGGAAGAAGCTTTATCGATGTTGATCTGGAGAGGTTTGAAATTTATGAATACATTTAAAAGATGCTAAAGATAAAGTAAGTTCCTTCACTCGAGCTGTATTCCTCTAATGCCGATAAAGATTTATTCGAATAAAAGTATAAATTATAGTATTCTCTCACAATTTTTTTTTATACATAATAAATTTGATCATATGTAGATGTAGAAAAGTAATTTACCAATATAATAAAATGTAGAAATGACGCTTGCTGTTTTGTGGGGTATGCGGTAGGCCCACTTCGTCATGTGGGCCTGTCTTCTATTTTGGTCTTGTACGCCTCTAGTCACCTCATGTGCTCCCTCACCATATCACAAAATTGCTTACATATAAAATTTAAATTATAACGATAAAAAAATATGAACAAAAAAATTAGTATTCGATTTTTTTTTTCAGAAAAAATGGAATTCAATGGTTTCGTTAATTGAAATAAACATACTATGAGAAATGAAAAATTATTACATTATTTAATTGGATGATTAATATACTAATTTTATTAAAAAAGGATAATTAATTTGAATAAAATTGCATTTATTTGTCTCTATTTATTTACAATAATTGAAGATATTATTAAGTATTTACCATAAACCTAAATTTATTACATACCGAAGAAAATATATAATCTATATATATATATATATATACCCACTTGCCATGCGTTTAGACTAATTGCTAAATCCCACATGAAAAATGAAACACGACGGCTGTTTTATCAATGTTTGAGTAGGTCCCGTTTGTACCTTATAGAAAGTAGCGGGACTGGGTCAGCCCTCCATGCGCTCCCTCAGAAAATGGCCTCCACAAATACGTCATCGTTTCTTGTTCTGAAAATTGCCCTCAACAAAACGTCGTCGTATCTTGTTTATCTTTGTCTCATGAACATAATTTTAGTATTGGCTGCCTCGCTTACAGAGAAATAAACTAAACTTTGTGTCCCGCCGGACTGCTTATCTTATCAGTGAATTAGTGAAAAACTGTGTAAAGTTGGGATTCCAAGATCCTAATGGCATGATTAGAAGAATTGTATAATGATTTATAACTAAATATATATAGATATATAATTAAAATATTATAGACATATATTTATATATTATTAAATATATAAACATATATATAATTAAAATTATAAATATATAAATTTAATTAAATATATATAGATACAATAAAATTGAACAGGAGAAGTCGGAGATGAAGATGATTTGCGGGATGCAGCTCTGCATCAGGTTTAGAATAATAATAATAATAATAAGAATGACAAAATGAAGGATAAATTAGTAAATAAAAAAAATTTAAAAATGTAATAAGAAAAAATAATCCAACTCTTATAAAAATATGTGACTTAAAAAATTTAAAAAAAAAATTATAATTTTAAGAATAAAAATTTTATATTATTTATTTAAAAATATAAATAAATATAAAAAAATTATGAAAAAATCATACTATATCATTATTTAACATCATTATTTAAAAAAACAAGGCCTAAAATTATCTCCGCAACAAAAATAAGTTCGTGTTTTCTAATCTGTAAAACGTTACCGTATGTTTTGAAAGTTCGGATAGTCTTTTCATGAAATTTCAGACACCATGCATTTTTGGGAAGGAAATGCTCAAAGACCCCGCCTTTCTGGCGAATTTCATCCAAACTCTAGCACAGAACAAGCACCTAATCAAAGCAAAACAGCTCCATTCTCAGCTAATCTCTGCTGGGTATCCTCTATGCACTTCTCTCAGCAATCACCTTGTCAACATGTACTCCAAATGCGGGGAATTAGGTTACGCAGTGAAAATGTTCGATAAAATGACTCAAAGAAACTTGGTGTCTTGGACTGTGATGATTACGGGGTTTTCCCAAAATTATATGCTCTCAGAGGCGGTAAAGACCTTCTGCCTCATGAGATCTTACGGCGAGAGCCCGACCGAGTTTGCTTTTTCGACTGTTATTCGAGCTTGTACGTCTCTGGGATCGGTTGATTTTGGGAGGCAAATGCATGGGCTCTCGTTGAAATATGGGTTTGCTTGTGAGTTATTTGTGGGTAGTAATTTGGCCAATATGTATTCTAAATGTGGGATGATAGTTGAGGCCTGTAAAGTTTTTGAGGAACTGGAATTTAAGGATGAAGTGGCTTGGACAGCCATGATTGATGGGTATGCAAAGAATGGTGAGTTCGAGGAGGCAATAATGGCTTATAAGAGAATGGTTAATGACGGGGTTGTAATTGATCAACATGTTCTTTCTAGTACCTTGGATGCTTGTGGAGGGCTCAAGGCTCAAAGTGCAGGAAAATGTCTTCATTCACTAGTTGTGAAATTGGGATTTGAGTTGGAAATATCTGTGGGAAATGCCCTAACGGATATGTACTCGAAGGTGGGAGATATGGGAAGCGCTTCAAATGTGTTTGGGATTGATTCAAAATGTAGAAATATTGTGTCTTGCACTTCGTTGATTGATGGGTATGTTGAGTTAGGTCGAATGAAGGAGGCTTTGGATGTTTTTGTTGAGTTGCAGAGACACGGGATCCAACCTAACGAGTTTACTTTTTCGAGTTTGATCAAGGCTTGTGCTAATCAGGCTGCACTTGAGCAAGGGTCCCAGCTTCATGCTCAAGTACTTAAATTCAGTTGTCACAGAAACCATTTTATATCTTCGGTGCTTGTTGATATGTATGGAAAATGTGGCTTGCTTGATGATTCCATCCGGGTATTTGATGGGATTGAAGAACCAACAGAATTTGCATGGAATGCGTTGATAAATGCTTTTGCTCAGCATGGTTTAGGGGAAAAGGCAACGGAAAATTTTGACAGGATGAAGAATAGAGGAGTTAAACCAAATGCAATAACATTTATCTGTCTTTTGCGAGGTTGTAGTCATGCTGGATTAGTGAAGGAAGGTTTAAATTACTTTTATTCTATGGAGAAAATTTATGGAGTAATGCCTAGAGAAGAACACTACTCTTGTGTAATTGATCTACTAGGCCGAGCTGGAAAACTTAAAGAAGCTGAGGAATTTATTAACAAAATGCCTTTTGAGCCGAATGCTTTTGGATGGTGTTCTTTTCTTGGAGCCTGCAGGAGTCATGGCGATAAGGATAGGGGTAAACTTGCAGCAGAAAAATTGATGCAGCTAGAACCTGAAAACAGTGGAGCTCATGTTCTACTTTCAAATATTTATGCAAAGGAACAACAGTGGGAAGATGTCAGGGCTTTGAGGAAGATGATGAGAGATGGAAATGTAAAGAAACTGCCTGGTTATAGCTGGGTTGATATTGGGAACAAAACTCACATATTTGGAGCTGAAGATTGGTGTCATCCTCAAAAGAAAGAAATCTATCAGAAACTCGATATTCTCCTTGACCAGATAAAGAATGCTGGATATACTTCTAACACAGAGTCTATTCCTTTGGATATTGATGATTATACAAAGGAGAAAATGCTCCATCATCATAGTGAGAGAATTGCTGTTGCATTTGCACTAATAAGCATGCCAATTGGGAAGCCAATAATTGTAAAGAAAAACTTAAGGGTGTGCATAGACTGCCATTCTGCTTTGAAATACATCTCTAAAGTATCTCAGAGAACAATTATTGTCAGGGATAATAGCCGATTCCACCATTTTACTGACGGTTCATGTTCTTGCAGAGATTTTTGGTAAAGGTTTTCTAGTATCAAGGTTTATCATGAACACTTTCCTCAAAAAAAAAAAAGGTAAAAAAAGGGAAAGGTTTATCATGAACATCATGAACTTGCAACTACTTTCTAACTAGTTTAGTGTCATGGAGAGTCAGCAAAAATCTCGATCATAGAAGATTTCACATTCTTTGGTTTAAAATCAATTTATTATTACAATTTTCGCTTGCCATTAGCTCATAATTTACTTCCATGCCATTAATAAGCTTGTGGCAAGGATTCAGACCTCGTGGAGTGGAGTATATTTCCATTCAGATTATTAGTTATGTGCAATATTGTCGTACTGAATCTTAAACAAGTATACTGCAACTTCGTTTTTTGTTTGCCATCAAAGACACAAAATCTGAGCTTATCAATGTGGAGACAGTTACATTATAGGTCCATCAGACAGAGAAAGAGACTTGACATCACAGCACAGGAACAGAATTGATCGATAATTTCATTTCTAACCTGGAAAATGGTCCAAGATTTCTATTTGCATGGACTTATTTATTCTTATCTTTTTAAATATATATATATATATATATAAAGTGTGAATTGTAATAATATAAACACAAAAGAAATGCTACATATATATAAAATTTACAAGTCAATTAACATATTAACAAGTTTTGCTAAATTTTTCGAATAAACAAGAAGATGATCTCCTAACAAAAAACAAAAGATCTGAAACCATCTATCTTAAGGATGTCAAAACTATGTACATCCTCATTCTCATCTTATATAAAAAAAAGAGACTTTAGAACCCAGCTAAAAGTAAACTCTCTTCCTTTCAAGCTAAAAGTAGCTGCTTCATTTAAACGACTTCAATCCAAGAATTTATGATGTGAATGATTAACTGGGCAAACTTATAACTTATTATAATGGTAAAATTCAATAATCAAATCTGCAGTGTGGTGAACCAAGTTGCTTCAATAAGATAAGCACAATTCATAGTTTTACTCCATGTGACATTTACAATGGGGTACAAATTCAGTAGTAATATGTTGTAATTTGTTTTTTCCTTTTGTTTTATATGAAATTGTTAAGTCTTTTGAGTTGACATCTTATAGTTTTAAGATTCCTGTATGGAAATGCAATCGAATTCTTATTTTTTTTATATAATTTAAATATTAAAAAACGTTTCATTCAGATAACTTTAAGGCTTAAAAGTACTAGATAAGCTAATGGAATTAGCAGATAAGCTGCGACTTGATCAACTTTTTTACTTATTGAAGTGCTTGGAAGCAAATATATCTTACAGTGGTTAGTAATAGAAGACAAAACCAATCTAGAACCTAAAAGGCAAGCCTATATTTTGAACAAAGCATGTACTGTAAAATCTCACGGCTGAAGAACACTAACACTGGATGCTGTTGTAGAACCAACAAGAGATGCCAGGTGAGGCAGATTTGCAGGAGGATGAGACATTTAACAGAAGAAGAAAATCTTATTCAAATTCTCGGATAACGTGAACGTCCTTTCTTCTTCAAAAATTCAGGGATTTCGACTGTGCTACCTTCAGTGAATGAAGAAGGTCTCCTATTGATTCCGGTGACATCTCCTTGTGCTAGCTGGCTTGCCTGCATTTCAAGCAGAAACCAAGAGGATTTATATGTGCGCAAGTGAAAGAGAATATGAGCAAGAATGATACCTGCAGGGGCCTCCCATCACTTTCATCTTGGCGTTTGAATCCGGTAGCAATTAGGGTTATACTAACCTGGACAGGAAAAACAAAAGAAGGTGAAATCTACCATATTGACCAACAGGTTTGAGTCTATATAATCTGGTTAATAGTCTATTCAATTTAATGAAAAAGGCATCGCATAACAACGGAAAGCAGATTGCAGACATGAAACAAAAAGCACAACACTAGCAGGGCAAACACCACGGAAGAAGATCAGGTGAGTAAAACTAATAAAAATATTAATATATAACAATTTACAAGACAGTAAAAAGTCTTTCTTCTTTTGAAAATGATGCTTTGGGCAAAATTATAAACATGCAGCCAATAGAAAGCATAAAAATGCAGGCAACTAATAATTGTCGGTATGACCTAGTTATACCAACGTCGGTAAAGGCACTACTGATTCTCAAATCTACCACAATCATGTCAGTAGAAGCAAATACTCACTTGACCACTAATTGATGGATCTATAACAGCTCCAAATATTAAATTGGCAGTAGGATCCACTAGGTCGTATATTACCTCTGCAGCAGCATTTACCTGCATTCCGAAATAAAAACGGAAGCATACTAAAGGCATAAAATATTTACATTCAGTAACACTCTCTAGGCACATAACAGAGATGCAGAATAAACAAAAACCAAGTACAAACTAGAGTTCAGCAGGCTAACTTCACCACAGCAGTACACTAAATAGTGTTATCTAGGCCGTGAGAAAGCAATTTAATTTTTTTTTTTTCTCATGTTGAAGTACCCTGTCTCAGAATTTACTATTTCCAGTCTGAATTATGACAAAAGAAAAAGTAGACTATACATTATTAGCAGGTTAGAATCTAGGAAGGAAGTGCCGAATCAAACCAGAAGCCAGACAAAAGATCTCCTTTTCTAATAGTTGCCTGCCATAAAGAAGTACATCAATGGCTGAAAATATAAGTGGGTAAGCTAAAAGTTACTTCTCATCACCCACAGGTGGGAGATTTTATCCTCAAATCTTAGCATATGGAAATGCTTTCAAATGAGATCCCAATAAAGCATGAAGTAAAATCCATGAACCTAATATAGTGTGTGTGTGTGTGAGAGAGAGAGAGAGAGAGAGAGACCTCGAACAAGGTCAGGTCGCTTCCGCCAGTTATGTTCCAAACAATTCCAGTAGCCCTTTCTATACCGATGTCTAGCAAAGGTGACTGGATTGCATTCAACGCAGCATCTCTTGCTCTGGTCTTTCCTGTACATTAAAATAAATATCCCCAAGAAGAATATGTTATTTGACGCTTAATTGGATATGATTAAAATTGCAGGACAGATCAGTTCAAGCAGTCCAACTAATAATAGCACAACAATCCAGCCTGACAGTAATCAACCATTATATCAAGTAGTAAGCAGGGATACCGACGCGATGCTTGCTCACAGTTGTAAATACATTGGCCTTCACTTATTATAAAGTGACGATATTTAAAGGTAAAAAAGATGCTCTGACTCTATCTCAGTGATTACTTCCACAAAAATGTATGTATTTGTTTTACTTTTCTCCATCGTTTACAAATATGGGAGGTTTTGAGTGATAGGGATGAGATATTAACGCAATGTACCTCTTTCCGCAACCCCACCGCAGGATTGCATTTTCTATCCATGTTTATACTTGATCAGATGTGAAACAAGGTTATGACTGCTGCTTCATCTAATGCTACAACCTTTGAAGTATCATCTCAACTTTGTAAAAAGATATCTAAATATTGCATTTGACCAGTAGTCTGTAGTCATCTAACCAATGCTTTTTCCAGCTTCCATCTTAGTGACAAGGTCCCACATGAAGTTGCTTATGTTGAAAAAAAATGCTGTAACTCCTTGATCTACTTAAATTGTTAAAAAAATATTCAAATATACGGTATGCTGTCTTGAAATTGCATCGTATAAAATATTATCTAGGGATTATATCATTCAGTTGTTTCTCTTCCTTAGTAACTGATGGAGATCATTACCAGGTACCATGACTTAACTTTAGTTTGCAAGACCAACCGATAAAATCCATCATGTGCTTATGGACATGCAAGATCATGTCAAATGCCTTTCATCCCCATTATTTAGGGAGCATCACATTTCCAGCTTATTTCAAGTTAGCTACATCAAGGATGGAGCTCCCTCCCAGCTGGCCATTCCTTTTGTTACTGCTGCATAGACATGCACAGCACAGATATATGCACACAAATACGCATAGAGAGAAAGAGAGAGCAAGACGAAAGACGCAAAATGGGGGAATTTAGACATGGAGAAGAATGCTCTCGCCACCTTAATGTCAAATGTCTGAGATATCATGGCCAGAGCTTTCTGCCAGCTGAACTTTCCTTTCGTGATTGCTGCCCACATGTATGCATATCAGAGAGAGAGATTCTCCTGCCTGGCGGTTCAGTTTGTGACTGTTGCAAATGGATGAGGCCAGAGAGAGAGAGAGAGGCATGGTGGTGAATTCGGATATGGAAAGAAAACTCGAGATTGTGACGGACAGAGAGATAAGAGGGAGAGCGAGAGACAAGAAAACAAATTTGAATATAAACAAGGATATGAAGATTATAATAAGTTTTCCATCTTAAGTCAAATATCTGCAATATCTTGTGATAGTAGGAAAATTGCAAAATTACCAGTCGCAGTTCCTATTCCCATAAGCGAAGAACCTGCATTTGCCATTATAGCTCGCACATCAGCGAAGTCCACATTGACAAGCCCTGGAATCTGGAACCAAGGAAA